AGACTTGTGGGACTCAGCGGACACTGAAAACTGCAGCTGCTGGTGTAAAAGGCACAAAAACTTACAAAATAATAACCCCAAACTTTGGCTCTTGCTTGGGTTGTGGATCCTTGGCTTATCGAGGGAAACAGCGAAACTGAAGATGCCCTATTCTGGACCAGTGCTGTAAATGAGCGCTTCATCTCATTCTTCTCCTCCGCCGCCGCCTTCTCTTTCTCCTTTTTCTTTTTTGAAGGCAACATGAACAGGAAAGTATACAAATCCCACTGAGTTAGTTAAAGTTCATTGTGCCAACCTGGCCAATAAACACATGTGGGGTTAATTGAAGGGTGGAGAGATAAATGGCTCAGTGAGTCTCACCTTTCTAGTTCTTGTGTCTCTTGCTTTCTGACAGTCGGACCAGGGGCAGCTGCCTTAGCCAGTTCCCTGCTCTAGCTGGCAAGGCTCACTTCATCCCCAAGGAGAAGCTGCATGGACTTACCCCGATGCAGCCCTGGGTGCTGGAGCAGCCATGTGGAGACTCCTGCAAGTGCTGAGATGCTTACACGCTCACTGATTAGCTTTCCTCGTGAACTCGGCATCATTGCATGTGTTTTGTGAGATGGAGGAGGACTTTGTGGACTGGTGTTGGACATATGGGTTAATATTGGACTTGTGGGCTTGGGCAGCACTGGGTTGGGATGTTTTCTTGATGTGCACTTACCCTTTATATCAAACTCTCTCTTATACATATGAGTTTCTGTGAGTTTCTGTGGATTTGTTTCCCTAATGTACCCAGACTAACACACCCACACAGAAGTTTATTATCAGAGGAGGATTTACTTTGAAACTAATGAAACTTGAGTTTCAGGGCTTCTCTACAATGTCAGCCCCTATGACTAATTTATAGGACTAAGGTTATATTCTTTTTTGCAAAGGAAGCACCCAAACAGTCTAACCTTCATGTTCCATGCAACCTGGATAAGACTGTGTTTATTGCCATCACCATTTGCTAACTGAATTATCCAAGTTTTAGCTTTATCCAGAGCAGGGGTCCTCAAACTTTTTAAACAGGGGTCCAATTCACTGTCCCTCAGACCCATTGGAGAGCCGGACTATAGTTAGAAAAACAAAAACAAACTATGAACAAATTCCTATGCACACTGCACATATCTTATTTTGAAGTAAAAAAACAAATGGGACAAAAACAACCGGTGGGCCGGATAAATGTCCTCGGAGGGCCGCATGTGGCCCATGGGCCGTGGTTTGAGGACCCTGATCTAGAGCCAAATCTTGCTTGCAGAAGTATAGAAACAACTATTTTCTTGGTTGTCCACTGGTTCTTTTGTTTTAAGAATTTCTTTTCGCCCAGCTTGTTAAACAACAGACACTGTGAGAAGCACTGATCTGTCCTTGCTAGAACATATTTTTTGCTAAAAGAGGAGTGACTGCAGCTAGGGGTTTGCGTGTGTCTGAGAACGCGTTGCCTTCTCCAAGCGCTTAGGGCGCTGCGGGAATTGTAGACTGCTGTTCCAGTACACGAGGCCTTGCCATTGAGCCCTTACTTTTGCTGGAAATGAGATTCTAAGACATAAAGCTCAATTTTTCTAAAACATTTCAAAGCCATACGCAAAAGATTTGGGTATCAATTGTATCTCTCAGCTCTTTCTTTTTAAATTGAAATGGTGTTCTAAGTATCCAGGGTTGGTTTTTTTTTTTATAATTGTTTTATTGATTGGCTTTTCTAGGCCAACAAAACTTGATGTGAGGAGTTTAAGCTCTGAGGTTGGACTCTTCCTTTCAGAAATCAACTCACTTTGACCTGATATTTCCATCAACATCATATGGTCAGGGTTTTGTTCTATCTGATTAAGAAATTAATATTTTTCTCCAGAGATTATTTTGTATCCTTTTGACAGCTGTCTTTAATAAATTTTTTAAAAAATAGGGAGCAGAGACAGGAGATACTAGTAAATATAAGCACTCAATTAAAGAATCATTCATTGCTCATTCATTGTTAATATGTTTTAATTCATGAAAGAAGAAGAAATTTTTACTGACCAAATGATATTTCTTAGACCTGAACATTTACTCAATGGAGTTCTATAGGCAAACTGGGGAATACACACACACAGTTGTTGTTGGGGTGGTGTTGTTAGGTGTGTTAGTCAGTTCTAACCCATAGCAAGTGTGTGCACAACAGAAAGGAACACTGCCCAGCCCTGCACCAGCTTTACAATTGTTCCTGTGCTTGGGCCCATTGCTGCAGCCACCGTGTCAATCCATTTATTGAGAACCTTCCTCTTGTTCTCTGCTCCTCTACTTTACCAAGCACGGCATCCTTCTCCAGGGACTGATCTCTCCTGACAACATGTCCAAAGTTTGTAAGACCAAGCCTCTCCATCCTTACATCTAAGGAGCCCTCTGGCCGTCCTTCTTCCAAGACAGATCTGCTTCTCCTTTCGGCGTCCATGGTACTTTCAATATTCTTCGCCAGCACCACAATTCAGACTCTTCCATGTTTCTTCAACCTTCCTTAGTCAATTTCCAACTTTTTAAATATAGTTTAGTATTTCGAAAGGAAATGTCCCTTAAACAGGCTTTAAACCTACTCCTCATTTATTGATTATATCACTATTCAATGTTTCATGTTTGTGACAATGGTAAAAAAAATTCTACTAATAGACTGTTTTGCACATTCAGAACATATGCCTGGCAGTAATGAATGCCACAAGGTTAGCTGAAAGTTACATCGTCCATGAGGTTGCATGTATGTCCCAACTTGACTGGGACATGATTCTCAGTGATTTGGTAGTTATGCAAGTGTAATTTGGCAGTTATATAATGATGCGGTCACTCTCCATTTTTTGACCTAATGTGGTCATCCTCCATTTTTTAACACAAAGTTTTGCAAAATGACCTGGTCTTTAGAACCCAACCCTGTGAGGTGTGAGTTATAGTCCCAGAGAATGGTGGGCAAAACTATCAAAGGTAGATAGATCCCAAATTTAATGAGGTATTCTTTATGTCCTAAAAGTTGTAAACTGATTTATCAGCTAAATATTCAGGCATATGTTCCTACACATCTCATAACACGAATTTACATATATTATAATACTATACACTACTTTCCTAGATAATTTAAAATTGGCTCTGCTTTTCAAGCTTTGGTGTCCAAACTGAGCCACCCACGGCCATCAAATCAATCCTGACTCACAGCAACCCTATAGGGCCAAGAAGAGCTGCTTTGCAGGGTTTCAGTGACTAAATCTTCATTGCTCTGCTGCTGAGAAGCCAAGTGGGTGGGCATCACTGACCTTGCGGTTCACAGCCCAGTGTTTAACCCATTGTGCCACCTGGGCTTCTTGTTTTTTCACCTGAAGAATTCTGAAAAGAGTGAATCCGAAGTTACCAAAATCAGTTACCGTCAAATTAATTCTAACTCATGGTGACTCCATGTGTGTCAGAGTAGAACTATGCCTGATGTTTTGAAATAAACCACCAGGGCTTTCTTCCACGGCACCTCTGGTTGGACTTGAACCCCATACTTTCCTGTTGCAGATAAGCAAGGGAACCATTTGAATCACCCCCATGGTCTCCAAACTTGTCAACGGCATCACAGGAAAATTAAAACATCAACTCGGCACTTGATCCTTAAGCATAATCTTAGTCGTTCAATGGGCTTCCCTTGTCATCTGCCTCCATTTGTGCCCGTCAGATGTCCGACTCACAACAGGAAGTCAGGAGGAGAAGGAAGATGTTTGGGGGTGACAATGTCACTCTCGACAGTGTTTATTCTGTCACATGGGGTGCATTTACCGTCACCCCTGAGGATCAGAGAGCAGTATGCAAAATGCCTGTGTCAGAGAATACATTGACAAGTTTAGGCTTGTTTCCTTTATGAATTGGCTGCATCACTCTCGTATGTCTGCTCTCTGTGGTAGATGTTCAAGACAAATGACAGGGAGGTTCTGGGCTTCAGGGCACAAGTTCATTGGCCATTGCAATAGGATAAAAAGAGAAGGAGAGTGTGGTAGCTACCTAATTTCGTGTCAACTTGAGGTTATTAAGAGTAAAGGGGTGGAGTCTAGCCTGTCAATCAGGTTGCAGCCTGATGAAGCCTCATTGTGGGCATGGCCTTCTCATGAGGATTTTGGGAACTTCCTCTTTCTACCTGGAGGTGGGCCATACTCTCTCTCGGCTTCACTTTCTTGCTATTGAGACACTTGAGAGATGGAGGAGCTAGCGCTGAGACACTTCCACCCACCGGCATTGGATCCACAAGACTTCTCACCCACCAGCCTACGATCGCCCTGCATTTGGCATAATTGCATGTGCTGAGTAAGTCTGAAGAGGAATGTATGGACCAGTATAGGCCATATGGGCTAATGGCAGACTTAGGGACTTGATCTGGACTGGCTGGGATGTTTCCTCGGTATACAATTACTCTCTGATGTAAAGTTCTTCCTTATACCTATGTGTGTGTGTGTGTGTGTGTGTGTGTGTCCCGGATATGGTTCTCCAGTCAACCTGGTCTAACATAGGGGGTTGTAGGCTTTATGGAACAAAAATTTCTCCAGGTCCCATTTGAGTAGCATCTCCCATTTAATACCCCCCACTTTGTTTGGCTTCAGAGATCAGTGTGAGGCCTTGGCTCACGTGAGTAGACGTGGGTTTTAGTTATTATTTTTTTTAAAGGCAGCATTGCAACCTAATCACAGAATGAGACCTCTATTTTAAAGTTTCTGAACGGATGCAAATTTGTATGGTTCATCACAATTACATCTATAGACATTCAATACATTTGACTAATTTTTACCATTTTCTGCAAGGCCGCCTTCCTTCCCATGAATGAAATAATCATGTGAGTCTCCTTGATTCATTCTCTTGAAAATCTATGCAAAATCTATGTAGACATCGTCTTTGACTCCCCTGCACACTGATAACCGTGTACATTTTCACTGAGGGCAATGTTCCTCCGTGCAATCAACTCAAGCGGAGCTTTCATAAAGATAACATACCACGTGACTCGAGGCTCTGGCCAGCCTGCGACGGAGCAGTGCAGCTTCACACTCTCTTTCTCCCACACTGTGTGCGAACGCAGCTTGATGATGAACTCCGGAGCATGAAGCAGGCTATCTTCATTCAACTTTCGATGGTAGGCCTCGGTTTCTTCTATCTGAAAAAAACCACAGCAGAACAAATTAAAAAATAACTCGCTACCGCGGCTTGGCTGTGGGGGTCATGGAGTCGATTCCACTCATAGCAACCACATGTGACATAGCAGGACTACCTCATGCAGGTGCTATCCTTCTGGAAGCCCACTGCCAGCGTTTTCTCCTGTGGGTCCAAATGGGTAACTTCTGGTGAACGGCCGAAGGTTTAACTCCGTACCTCCAGGGTTTCCAGGGCACGAGCAAGGGCAAGACCATATGATGGTTCTGTGGTTTTGTGTGTTTACGTAAGGTGCGCTCCGAGGGAAGAATACTTTCTTTTAAAAAGCAGGTAGGTGTGACCTTAACATTCTAAGTTTGAGTCACCAATTTTACTTCCCCAAGGTGAGTTATATATTGGACTGCGATCGTCAAGGTCCGCAGTTTGAAACCACCGGCCACTCCTTGGAAGACAGAGGAGGCTCTCTACTCCCGTGAACACTTAGTCTTGGAAACACCCAGGAGCAGTTTGACCCTGTCCGATAGTGTAGCTATGACTCGGTATGGTCTCGATGGCTGTGAGGAGTAGCAGAGGTGAGCTTCTTAAGGTTCTTTAAATCATACTTCATGGAGCTGAAACTATGGTCCCGCCTTTATGACCTATGTATTATAAAATACCTATATATTTTTTTAAAAAAATAATTTTATTGAGGGCTCATACAACTCTTATCACAATCCATACATCCTTCCATTGTGTCAAGCACATTTGTACATTTGTTGCCTTCGTCATTCTCAAAACATTTGCTTTCTACTGGAGCCCTTGGTATCAGCTCCTCTTTTTTATCCCTCCCTCCCCGCTACCCCCTCTCTCATGAACCCTTGATAATTTATAAATTGTTATTATTTTTTCATGTCTTACACTGACCGATGTCTCCCTTCACCCACTTTTCTGTTGTCTGTCTCCCAGGGAGGGGGTTATATATAGATCCTTGTGACTGGTTCTCCCTTTCTCCCCCACCTTCCCCAGCCCCTCCTGGTAAAATACCTATATTTAAGGTGTTTTTCTTGCCTTTAGTTTTGATTTCCCCCAAACCACACTCCTTAACTTGAAACAGCTAAATCCCTATCTACACACACATATTCATTTCCATTTTTGTCGGTTTCATTGGCTTGTCTTGTCTTACTGTTTTCCTCAGCGCCAGCCGTTCTGCCTTTTCTCGAATGGCAACTTTCCGGGACTTCTTCTCAAAAGTCTCCTCCTGTTGAATCTCGGACGTGGCCTGTTTGGAGACCACGGATCGCTTGGATGCTGTCGACTGTTTGGACGTCGAGAGCTCTTCTTCACTGGCCAGAAGATTCCGCTGGGCTATGTAGGCAGCCGCTTCTTTAACTCTTTCTTCTTCCGTATCTGTAATCCCACTGACATGTACTTGGCTGAAACATGAAAACAACAAAATGTGGCTATTGTGGGGGCAGGGATGAGATTGACTGGTTTCAGGAGGTTGAACAAGTCAGACCTCTAACACAACATACTTGGCCCAAATTAAACCTGACAGAAAAAGCTGATCTCTCAGGAGCTGACACTTCTCATGCAGAAGTGGTCTTATATTCACAATGATCACAGTAACCATAATAATACCTACGCTGTCACTTAGGAGCCTTGAAGACATAGTGAGTTACGGGTTGGGCTGCTGGTCACAGATCAGCCATTTGAAACCACACCTGGGAGAACGAGGAGGTTTCTAAGCCGTACAGATCGACAGGCTCTGAAACCCAGAGGGACAGTGGTACTCTGCCCTGCAGGGTGGCTGTGAGTCAAGTATTGTGTCTCTGGTGCTGGCCCACATGCTTTTTAACACATCAGCTGCCAGATCACACCCAACCACTGCCACTGAGTCCATTCTGACTCACAAGGACCCTCGATGGGTTTCTGAAGCCGTACATCTCTATGGCAGCTGACAGCAGCCGCCTTCTCGCTGGGGCAGCTGAAAACTTTGAACCACCAACCTTGTAATGAACAGGCCAATGCTTACCCAACATCATCACCAGGGCTTTGCCAGACCAGGTAACTTAATGCTCACAACAAACCCCTGAAGTAAACTGTGTGACAGCGATTTTACAAACGTGGTCCCAAGCTTCAGAGAGGTCATATAACTGTCCTGAGGTCATTCTACTCGTTTTATCCCTGTATGCAAATATGCTTTCGTTTACCAGAAGACATGGAAGTTATGACTACCTATCTGGTAAATGATGTGTAGTTTATGAACTTTACAGCCTGTGAGCATGACACAGAGCTCTGTTCCTGACCTGAAATTTATAACCTGGCCAAGGTATGCAGGGATGTTTTCAAATTAATAGACAAATTTCATTCTTTTTTAATTCCACTTTTCCACAAACCATTTGCAGCCCCTCATACTATGTTGTCTGGAGTTGCTACAAATAAATATATATTTCTAATATCCCAAAGTTTCTTATATCCATTATTTCTTTGAAGATAATCAAGGTTGTGTTATGTATTTGTGTGTGAGTGTATATATAACCATCTTTGGTTGTATTTGCATACAGTTACGATAAGAAAAACATAGTCAAACTTGCCATCGAAGTGGTAACAGTGACAAAATTGACCTGTCATTATCAGTCATTGATAATGAGGATGACAAATGAGAGGTAAGAGGAAACATTTCCCAGTGTTTTCTCATAAAGCAGTAGTCTATAAGGCAACTTGTTAATGTTGTTAAAAATCTTTAGATTATTTTTAGTCACATTCCATATCTTTGTTTTGAATCCTATCAGATTGTTTAATCAAGGAGTACATTGATTATTCTAAAGACTCGCTTGAAACTCTGCGTCGTCTCAGACCTGGAAAAGCAGATTGTTACACTTGCTTTTCTTCGAGGAGAGAGCTTCAAGACATAAGCAAATGCAGCCATCTTATGCTATGCCAGTGGCGTGGCATTTTGCTGCGGGCGTTGCTGCTGTCTGGGGCCCTTCCTTAGGTTCTGCCGCGTAGGGACCCCCACTTCAGAGAACAAAGCACAGGCCTAGAGCAGCCGCAGTGCTTGGTGGGGAAAGATCTAGGAGAAGACGTGAAAAGTGAAAAGCCCACAGGGCCACACGGCAGTTCAGGAGGAGTCAATGGGCCTTTACCTTTTTTCCACAAAGCAGAAGGCAAGAATACTGTACTCCTCTCACTCAGGCATTTCTTACAATAGGCACGAAGATATGTTGAACTCACTTTGTGAAGCATCTCAGTTGGGGTCATCTTACTTAAAAAACAAACATGTTTCTCTGGCAAGTTACCTTTAAAAATCAGAGCTACCTGACTGGCTCGTCTCCTCCCCGAGACCCATCTGCAAGGGGATTCGCCAGTGGCCTACTAATGGGCTTGTCAGGGTGCGATGTAGCAACGATGAAAAATACAACTTTCCTCTAGTTCCTAAATGCCTCCTCCCCGCCCCCACTATCATGATACGAATTCTACCTTGCAAGTCTGGCTAGACCAGAGGATCTACACTTGTACAGATAGGAACTGGAAATACAGGGAACTCAGGGCCGATGAGCCCTTCAGGACCAGTGGTGTGAGTGGTGATACTGGGAGGGTAGAGGGAGAGGGGGTTGGAAAGAGGGAACCGATTACAAGGAACTGTATGTGACCTCCTCCCTGGGGGACGGACAACAGAAAAGTGGGTGAAGGGAGATGTCGGACAGGACAAGATATGACAAAATAATAATTTATAAATTATTAAGGGCTCATGAGGGAGTGGGGAGTGGGGAGGGAGGGGAAAAATGAGGACCTAATGCTGGGGGGCTTAAGTGGAGAGGAAATGTTTTGAGAATGATGAGGGCAATGAATGTACAAATGTGCTTTACACAATTGATGTATGTATGGATTGTGACAAGAGTTGTATGAGCCCCAATAAAATGATTTTTTTAAAAATCAGAGCTACCAAAGACATCCAATGAGAAGCCAAATGTAGAATATCATTTACCTCTCTGGGTCCCAGATTAGGCTCAGAACTCATCACTGATGGCCTTGGGCCCCTGGAGCATGTCTGAAAAGATGGGCCAGAGAACAGTGGGGAGGTTGGCCCAAGGCAGGAGAGCTGGGTCACCAGAAATCACAATGCAGTTACTTCCTAAGGACTTTGCGCAAGATCTGACTTGTATGACAGTTCCTGATAGCATTTGCCCTGGCAAGATGTCCTCATTTTGAGTGTCCCCTGAGCTATGTGACGAATTCTCCAATCAAAGGAAAACGAGCATGGGAGATCCAGAGAGTCCTAATAAACTTTGACCTTGATTTCTGACAAGTTTCATTTCAAGATTCCTTTGGGTCATAATCATAAAAAAATAAGAGTTTATATCCTAAACATAGAAAATTGACATTGCATAACTTGCGGTTTGTTATTTTGTTTGAAATTTGCTTGAAAATAAATCCCAATCTCTTTCCAGTCATATGAATCAGGCATTTCAATTTTTGTGCAGTGCTTTTTCTTTGACTGTTATGTAAGTTATTTTCTTTCTAATAACAACTAAAAGCCCCAGACAACTAAGACCCTGCCCCGCTACCTAAACAAATCATCTGATTGTTTCATCTCACGCACCATCGCATAATTTTGAGCCTCTCTTTCTCCTCTAAGTATAGTGACTGTGGCTAGTCCTCAGTCACTGGCATTTGAATGCTCTACTTCCAGTTTCTACTAATTAGTTTCCACTAATTCCACGAGTATGTTTCTGACCATTCCCTTGTGTTATGTGTGATGCTGGGTGATGGAGAGATTTCTTTCCAGTGGAGGGCTCTGGCTTCAGCTACGGTACATTGTGAGCTGTCGATGACAGGGAGCTGTCAGCATGGGCCCATGAGTCACCATGGGCTCGATGGCCATGAGTGTGACTCTTTGTCACCCTCATCTACTCTGACAGCACTCCTTTTCACTTTCCGACCATCCACCCCGGACAGGCACCATACCGTCCTGAGAAAATGGGCACCATGTAGTCGCTGGGCAAATTCTCCTTCTCTTCTCCAGAAAGCAGGCTCTTCCTGGCTCTCTTTGTTTTGGGACTGAGCTTCGATGAATAATCTTCTAACAGCAGACTGGAATCTGTAAGTCTGAAACAAAACCCTTCACATTAGACAATAACCAAAAAAATTAATTAAAAAAATTCAAAATGCTTGTAAAAGGGAGTTTTACAAAATATGAAATCCTAGTGCTATAATTATCTTTAATCTTTAGAACTAAAACCAAAAACATAAATACAAAACCAAACTCATTGCCCTTAAGTCAATTACAACTCATAGAGACCCTACAGGACAGGGTAGAATTGTTGGTGGTGTGTTGGTCTGGGTACTTTAGAGAAACAAATCCACAGAAACTCATATGTACACGAGAGAGTTTGATATAAAGGGTAAGTGCACATCAAGAAAACATCCCAACCCAGTGCTGCCCAAGCCCACAAGTCCAACATTAACCCATATGTCCAACACCAATCCACAAAGTCCTCCTTCATCTCACAAAACACACATAATGATGCTGAATGCAGGAGGATAGCTGAATCAGTGAACGTGTAAGCATCTCAGCGTTGGCAGGGGTCTCCACATGGCTGCTCCAGCACCCAGGGCTGCATCGAGGTAGGTCCATCTGGCTTCTCCTCAGGGAAGTCTTGCAGGAAATGAACCTTTCCAGCTGAAGCAGGGAACTGGCTAAGGCAGCTGCACCCTGGTCCAACCATCACAAAGCAAGAGGCCTGAGAACTAAAAACGCGAGGCTCACTGAGCCATTTATCACCCCGCCCATCTATTAAGCCCACATGTGTTTACAGGCCTGGTTGGCACAATAAACTCTAACTATCTCAGGTGGGTGTTCATCATTGTAAACCTTAATGGGAGTGGAAATCATCATTGCTTTCCTATTAGAATTAAAATGGAGTCAAAAATCCATGTGCAGCATCCCCACGTGTATTGTGTGCCAGGTGAATCCCCACTGTCCAGAGACTGGGCATGCGAACAGCTATCAGACAGAGTGCCGAAAAGAGGATTCTCAGTTGTACTTAGGCTGGACTGCAGCACATTGTCATTAGCTCTCCCGTTAGGTCGATGTTGAATTTATTCCAGTTTTTTAATATCCTCTGCTTTATTTTAGATTGTGGTTTTTCATCTGTTTTCTATGGGCATAGTTGCAGGATCCTTGTTGGGGTTTTGCCTTCACTGTGTACAGGAAAACCCGGACAGGTGGCTATCTGGAGATAAGCAGCTGCATTGATAATCACCTGGGAGCAAGGAAGGGGAGGCTGGGTGGAAACGGGAAGTGTTTAACATCAACTGATATAGGAAGGAAGAAAATGTTCCCAAGCTGATTTGTGGTGATGATTGCAGAACCCTTATTAATTATGGGATATGCTAATTATAGCTTAATAAGCCTTAAAAAAAAGACTTCAAATAATGCACTCTATATTGGCACAAAAGGAAAATGGGTCTAAAACGTCATGGCTGTCCCCCCACTTCTTGAAGTCTCTAGGGCAGTGGTTCTCGACCTTCCTATAATTCATCATGTTGTGCTGGCCCCCCAACCATAACATTATTTTCGTTGCTACTTCATAACTGTCATTTTGCTACTGTTATGAATCTGGCGACCCCTGTGAAAGGGTTGTTCTACCCACAAAGGGGTCGCGACCAACAGGTTGAGAAACGCTGGTCTAGGGGAAAAAAGCAGTGTGTTTATAACAATCCTAAATATCTTTTGCTGTTAAGCTAAGTGAAGTGTGGGGTTTAGTCAGTCCGTATAACCAATCTTTCGGAGGATTTTTAAGAAGGCTGACAATTTTAAAGCAGGGGGTTTAGAGGTACACATTAAGGCCTTTTGTGCTGTATACAGATTTCTCTGTTCAAAGAAACATTGGACTTACATCAAACACAGAGATAATATAGTTATGTTATACCAACAGGAAGCATTGGGCGAGGCAGAAAATTGCTGAGTGTAATAAAGAACCTTTGGTCAGTTCTGTTATACATAAACATCTACCCATGCGCATGGGGGCAAATGTGCATTCTGAGGTGGTTGATACAGGAGCCTGCGTGGGACAGTTTTCCATCAGGTGTTAACATGAAGTTTGGATGTTCAAACCCACTCAGCAGCTCTGTGGAGGAAAGGCCCTGGGGACTGCTCCCATAGAGATTGCGGGGCGACATTCTGGGGCAGCTCTCCTGTGTGACGCATGGGGCCGCCAGGGAGCAAGGGCCCAGACCCAGGCAGCTTCCACCAATGCTCTCATACACCAAGGGGTGTACTATCGGGGTGAGACCCCTGAGAGCAGAGATCACACCGAGAGAAGAAGGACTGATGAAACTGAAAGTGTAGTATTAGTCTAAAGCTCTTGATTTCTCCCAAAAAGAAAAGAGAAACATTTTTTACAAGCATATCAGATTTCCCAGCACCATAATGCAAATGTATTGATTCTTTGTCAGTCTTCCCTCTTTAGTGTGCAACTTCCACATGTCTATAAAGCCATTAAAAATACTATGACTTGCTAAGAGCTGTATGAGCCCCTGATAAAATGATTTTAAAAAATACTATGACTTGGATCAGGTGCACCCTGGCCCTCAAAGGAACCTCCTTACTCTTCAGCCTTTAGGGGGGTCTTATGCAGCAGATTTGGTCAATGCGATGTGTCATCTTGACTGCTGCTTCCAAGCTGGATCCAAGCAAGATGAACTCTTTCTCCGTTGATCATGATGGTACCTATTGGTCTACTTGAGAGGATTTGGGTTTTCTTTACATTGAATTGCAGTTCATGTTGAAGGCTGAAAGCCTTGCTCTTCATCAACAAGTGCCTTCTGTCCCTCTCGCTTTCGGCAAGCAAGGGTGTGTCATGCTTTCATGGTGGTGATGATAAAGAATAGTGAAAGTGCCGTGGACTGACGAAACAACAGACAGATCTGTCTTGAGAGAAGAGCAGCCAGAAAGCTCCTTCGAAGGCATGCTGTTGAGAAATCGTCTCATGTGCTTGGGATCAGCCACTGGACAAGACGTCGTCCTTGGTAAAGCAGAAGGGCAGAAGAAAAGAGGAAGACCCCTGATGAGTTGGGTTGAACGGTGGCTGCAACCATGGGGCTCAGACATAACAATAATTGTGAGGATGGCGCAGGATCGGGCGGTATTTGGTTCTGTTGTGCCTAGGGGTGCCATGAGTCGGCACCAACTAGAGGGCACATCACACCATCTGATTGTGCACAAGTTCAGGGAAGTCATGCCTCAATTCTGGGTGCTGAGCCCCAGATCTACATGGTAGTGAGAGTTTCTAATAATAGGGGGCCCCGGTGCTGGCTGTCTAGGAACCCTCTGTGCTATCTTTGCAACTTTTCTGCCAACCTAAAATTATTCAGTAATAAGACATTGCTGTCAGAAGACAAAAGCAGCCGAGCTAGAAGGAATGTTGAAGAGAAAATGCAGACCATGCGTGCTGTGATGTGGAAAAGACAATATGCCCAGTTGAAAGACACAAGGAAATATATGCAATCCACACCCAATTAGGTTTCGAACTTTGAAAGTCATTTGGAAAAGCAGAAGGAGTTTCCCAAAATCCACAGAGGAAGGCAGGCCTTCCACATGCCTTTTGGACAATGGACCCACGAGGTTGCAGGGGAATGAATCCTCCGCCAGTCTGCAGCATCTGTGTGGCAGGAAAATGCAGCGCTCAGAGGGGTGGGGGACCCAGGGGGGCCTGTTGCCTTGGACCTGCTGACTGGGCCACGTACCTGGCACATCTTCCTCACACACTATCTCCGCTCGTCCCCAGGGTGATGCTCTAGCTTGCACCCTATGATCAGCATTAAATCCAAAGGTTAGAACCCTGAATGTAAGCTTGTGGATTGGTTACCAATTGGAAGCCTAAGTGAAATTTGTTCCGGGCTGGCGGTTCGAGGTGGTAGCGAAATGCCTGCACTCAGGACACAAAGTACATGCCGTGCTCATGCAGGTCTAAGTTTAAAGTGGTATTTTCCTCCACTCTCTTAGTTCCTCACTGTCCCACTCATACAAAACAAAACTGCGGAGCTGAAGAGTTTGACATTTTCTGTTCTAGAAGACTTGTATGTTCCACGTTCGAGACTTCCTTTTTTCCTTCTAGTTAGGCTCTTTCCGCTTCCCTTTCATTCCAATTCTCTACAATCTCTACAAACGAACTCTTTCCATGTTCGTTTACATCAAAACAGCGGAACTGTCATTCTTGTGATTGTACTGATGTTCTTTTTGCTGTTATTTTTCCCCTAATACAAATCTTCAAATTGATGCAGCTCTTTTACAGAATAGGTCAGGACAGGAAAACACATTCATTTTCACCATTTCACACAGGAATAATCAAAGACAACAACCAAACAAAATAATCCAAACTTTAACTTTCTATATTCTTTCCAGAGACCAACCCAGTAATCTTCATGGACATATCTGGCTTCTGGCTAGCCAAAGAAGAAACACTACCACGAGGCAGAGGTCGAACAAACATCCACTCTCCATCTTTGTGATTTGTTTCCCTAGTACCAGACTCCCATAATGTGTTAGTCCTGATGGAGTAGAGAAACAAATTCATAGACACTCCTCTGTGTATAGGAAAGAGTTTTATACACAAGAGCAATTGAATATTGAGGAAACATCCCAGCCCAGTCCTGATCAAGTCTGATATCAATCTATAAAGTCCCCTTCAGACTCAAGAAACACATGCAATGACACCTAAGGCAGGAAGATCGCAGGCCAGTGGGTGGGAAATCTTGTGGACTCAGTGGCGTTGTAAGCATCTCAGCACTGGCAGGGGTCTCCATGTAGCTTCTGCCGTGCCGGTCCAGGGCTTTCACTGCCATCAGCATAGCTCCATGTGTCTTGTCAATAGAGAGACTCTCAGGGAGTGAGCCATGAAAGAGAGTGTCAGCTGCCTCCAAGATGGAATACAGGAGTTCCCAGAATCCTCAGGAGAAGGCCATGCCCACACAGAGGTCTCATTGGCAGGCTAGATTGACAGGCTAGACGCCACCCCTTCACTCTAAATCCTCAAATTGACACCAGATTATGTAAATACCACAGAAGTTATTTATCCTCCCATTTTTACGGATGAACCTATAGT